TAAAGAGTAATGTTTCAACTACTGAAATTTTATTCTTTCTGAACCACATTGTAAATTTATATACCTACCATTTTTGTTAAAGTGGGCTTATAGAAGGAAGGGAAAAGTTAACCATTATACCTACGGGAATGAAGAAAAGGTCAAGAATACTTTAGCTCTTGTACTCATTCATTCAGCAAATAATTATTAATCATTCACTATTAACTATGAGTTATTTTAAGCCCTGGGGATACAGCAATGAATAAAACTAGGTCCCTACCCTCACAGAAGGCATCATTTCTTTTGAAATGGGATYTAAAAGGATCCAAGCTATAGAATAACCAAGATGCAAATGTGTATCAAGAAATGGCAACACATTTCACCTCTTTGAATTTTTTTTCTCTCCATAGGGACACTCAGAGAAATATACTGTTTTACTAGACTCATTTTTCCTCCCCATACTGGGGATTTMACCTAGCAATGCTTTACCACTGAGCTACACCCCCAGCCCTTTTTATTTTAAGACAGGGTCTTATTAAGTTGCCCAGGTTGGCCTTGAACTTGTGATACTCCTGCCTCAGTCTCCCACATTGCTGGATTACAGGCATGTGCCACTGTGCCCAGCAATAAACATCTTTAATGTGGTGTTCAAAATAGAAAGTACTAAAGCAAACTCTTTGAAGCCAACATTTTTAAGAGCCAGTATATCACTATGTACAAACCTTCCCATATCTAAATAACAGAGACAATACTAAGGATGTATATTCCATTAAACTGAAATAAACAATGTATTCGTAACACAGAATTTGCTTAAAAGCCTATGAACTCTATAAGAACAGAGTCTGTGCTTTATTTATCTCAGTAATCACAATGCCCAACAGAAAAATTAAAAAAGGGTATTACAGAAATATTCACTATTATATCARTGTACAAGAAACAGGCTCATCATTTAATTCTTAAAGATCAAACTATGCAAGAATCACCATATGATATTTTAATATGGGAATTCCCATAAGATACATAATAACATGCTTGAAAGTTTGGAAATGTTTCCCTCGATTTTTTTTTTCATAAGTCTCTCCAATGAAAAATTATGGGAACTGTAAAACATGGCTGTTAATAATCTTGAGAGAGATACATGGTAAGCATTAAGTAACAATACACTTAGCCTTTATTATACTACCTGTAGAAAAATCCAAATTTAGGCAATCCYATATTCTCTGAAATATTTTATAAACTCTCACATAACTTGTGTGTGTGTGCGTGTGGTTCTGGGGATTAAACCCCAGGGCTTATGCATGTTACTCAAGTACACTACCACTGAGCCACATCCCCAAACCCCTAATTTTTAAATAACATTGAGTTTACTAGGTTCCCTTTTCTACAAAATGAGAATTAGAAAACTTGATGTCATTTCTCCAAGTTTTTCCAGTATACTTAAAGCTTCTGGGACGCAGCTCACCTGGTGGTTGTTCTCTGTTCCATTTCAGAGCCTTTGCTCAGTCACATGCACATGGTCTCGGAGATTGTGGTCCCCACAGTCTGCACCCTCTGCACACTCATTGCTGCCCTGCTGTTAATGCTGCTCCTCAGGAGCCAGAGTTGAGACAAGATCACCAATTTTGGAGCTTCGTCTTTCATAGAGAAATCTTCAGGATGGTCCTCCTATTTCTGCTTTGGAAGTTTGTTCATGTCTGTTTTCTGGATTTGTTATAATTACCTTTTCCCCCCACTCTTTTTGGTGTATGCTGGAATTTAAGAATTAGAAAATAAAAATAAGCATAAAATAAAAAATTACCTATAACCTCACCCCCCCAAAGTCAGCATTAATATTCTGCTTATATTATGCACACACTCTCACTTTACAAAAGAGATCACAGCATACAGTTTTGTGACTTGATTTTTTTCATTTTATGTAAAACATATAAAATAGAAATACTATTTAACTGTACAAATGACTGCCATCTCAGCACCGTCCTATGTAATGGATAGCATCACTCTACATACAATAATCCTTTTAGATTATAGATCTATTAGCCAACCAGGAAAAAGCATTAGGTGGGCACCAATAAATGAGCACACAAATTTTACAGAGGTAAATTTCTCATACTAGATTTATTTTAATCAATAAGCTACTTCAAAGAAATGTTTCAGAACATAAAAAGTATATTTAAAAGAAACATTTARCTGTTAAGTAACAAGGTGTATTTTAAAAACATTAAGGTCCATTGTATTATTATTTTTTTTTTAAAGAGAGAATTTTTTCATATTTATTTTTCAGTTTTCGGTAGATACAACATCTTAATTTTTTTTTATGTGGTGCTGAGGATCGAACCCAGCGCCCCGCGCATGCCAGGCGAGCGCATTACCGCTTGAGCCACATCCCCAGCCCCGGTCCTTTGTATTCTTAAGTTTGCTAAAATTAATCTTCATTTATTTAGGAACATTTTATTCATTATTTGATTCTTCTTAATTTTATTTCTGAAACATAAAGATAGCAAAAAATATTATTCCATTAATTAAAAAAAATTTTTTTTGGTTAACACTATCTGAAATCAAAAGATTTTTAAAGGGTGTTCATGTCTGAGACTTAGTCCTATAACTGGGCTGAGATGAAATTATTTTTTAACAAAACTTTGGTTTCATTATAAATGGTATGTTTATTTAGGATTTTTCTCCCCCATAGGTGTTTTTTTCTTTTTTTTTTTTAGTTGTAGTTAGACACTATACCTTTTCTTTTATTTATTTTTATGTGGTGTTTATTTATTTATTTATTTTTATGCGGTGTTTGTCTAATTATTTATTTATTTATTTTATGAGGATCGAACCTAGGGCCTTGCACATCCTAGGTGAGCGCTCTACCCCTGAGCCACAACATCAGCCCCCTATAGGTGGTTTTGAAATTCAACTCTACTATACAGATTTGTTTTTAATTTTTTTTTTTTTAGTTGTAGATGGACACAATACCTTTATTTTATTTATTTGAATTTTTTTTTTTTTATGTGGTGCCAAGRATCGAACCCAGTGCCTCCTCACACATGCTAGGCTAGCACTCTACCACTGAGCTGCAACAGCAGCCCCCTCTACTATTCAGATTTAAAATGCAAAAACGTTATCACTCCAAAAGAAAAAAATTTTCATTTTGGTGGTTTTAGAATTGAATTGACCTAGTAAGTTGACTAAATAGAAGGTAGGAAGGAAGTAACATCTGGTAAGCCTTATATGTGATTACTGATAAATTATCCATATTCCTAATGTATTAAATCAACATTTACAATGTAGAAATAACTGAAACATAAAGTACTTAATAAAGAGAACAAAAAGTGAATTTAAATACCTTATGGAGGACCACCTCAGCTCACTTCACTTAAAATGCACCAGGCTGCAGGTAACCATGTTAGTAAAGGGTATCCTTTCTTCCAGGCTAACATTCAGTGTTAATTCAGAAAAATCTGTAACCAGAAAGACAGTAAGATCAGAATTCTTTAACACCCTGCTGGCTTTTCTACACTGACTTTTGTATTAGCACAATAATCAAGAGGATGACTGAATGGCATACATCTTCTACTTTAAGAGAATTTGTTAGACAAAATTTGGCCAAAACTCAGTTAGACATTGTCATCCAGGACAATTCATTTAAATATTAACCCTTTTGATGCATTTAAAATGTGATTAACAACCTAAATTTAAGGCAGATTTTGAAAAAAATTTATCTATTTTTCATCTGGGAATATATGGCTTTATTTCTTGAGCCAAATCAACTGAGGTTAAACTGTCTTTTCCCCATCTAAACATATATTTCAGAAAAGAAAGAAATTCTACTTAGGATTTGTAGTCTTCAAGCTAGACATATATCCATTTTTTTCCTCCTCAGACTGATTGTTGTATTTAAAAAAAATGTTAAAAAGTCTAACATTTACATAGGATTAAGTCTGCTTCCTTGCAGAGCAGTATTTTAGCTTCCACACTTTCACCATTACCTGTTACCACTGAGCACCTCTGGGTGGGCAGCACTCTACTAGATACCATTTTTCCACACCACTAACTCCAAATCATTATTCTCTATTCTAATGGCAGCTAAAGGTATATTTTTTTCTCTTAAGTATCCTACTTTTCATGTCAGCTGTTTTACTTAAGACCATAAAACCCATTAAGTATCTTGAAAAACTAGTTTTTGATCTAAGTGCAATGAAATAAAAAAATCTAATTTCTTAAATGCATATCTTTAACAAAAAATAAATCATTAATGAACTTTAATGTTTACAATTGGGGCTTTGTTTGGATAGTTCACAACTTTTACAAATGAGGTCTTTCTTCAAGAATGCATCTTGTTTTGGGCCCAAAATCACTGAATAATTTCTAACCTAATATTAAGAATATAGGGTAGTGAGAAGAGATTATAAAGTTCAAGCCAAAATTGAGTGCATTTTCAACACACAAAATATACAATTTCATAAGAATTCTTTATTTTGATAAAAGG